ACCTCACTATGAGCAGAAGGGGTATTTAATGCTGAAGTAACACGCTTCTTATTTGATTCATTTTGACACTATAGTGTAAGTCTTCAAAATGATTTTTCCACATGTTGCATATATTATTTTGACCATGGTACCCATCAATGCAGATTAGTAGTTTTATTGGAAGTTGTCGTAGTACTTTATTTAACGTGCTTTCAGAAGTTACGTTGGTCGACATTTTCAAATTTTTGTGCTAGTGAGTCTGCTCGATGTTTTACTTCGTCATTCTTGCATAACCTAAGAGCATACTTAAATTGTACTCTTGTTTGGCGCATTCGGTTACTTAATTGTCCATGACGCGGTTTACCGTTATCACGCCACCTTAGGTAAGCATTTCGTGCAAAGTTGTGTAGTTCACATAGTCATTCCAACCTGGTATAACCCAGTGGTCACGTTCTGGATTTCGATAGAGCTTTTACTACATCAGCGTATAAACCATTTATCTGTTTCATATGTACCTGATTAATGCAACCATGGTCATTACAGATCGCAACACCATGTGGGATCTCAATCTTGTTTAATAAAAATGCAGATCTCTGAGTATAATAAACAGCAACTAATTAATATTGCAGTAATTTCTTACACACAGCAAGGATAAATATATGATAAATTATGATGCCTTCTTTTGGACACCGAAAGAAGCTAACAAAGATTTTATACACAGAGATTTTAAAAACGCTGGCACTAAAATGATATATTTAAAAGTACCTTATCAAATGGTTATATGTTGTGCAAAGATAAAATGTGCACTACACATAATTTAACACAATACATTGTCATTTTGACATCTGTCCAATCATTATCGGCACACACAATTAATGAAATTATCATATGCTATTGTTTCTCCACATCGCCAAATATTCGGTATAAACATATCTTTTAAAGAAAATTTCCTTTGTAGTAGCCCAATATAAAACTTCGGCATGGTGACATCTCACCCATAATATTCATTAGTACCTGTGCAGCAACAGCAACAAAACAAATTATTCTCAGCCAATTAGCGACCTCATTTCTAATAAAATAAAGTATATAATATATCACCGCACTAAATGTAGGCTGATTCCGTAGATCATAAAATAATAAGTTGCCGGAGACCTTATGTACAGAAATATATATTAAACTCATTGTCGAATCCATGAATGTAGTCTGTCTCGATCGGGCATATAAGAAAACCAATGTTGTTTTTTTTTTCATCTGCTACAGTTATGTTTTGATTGTCTGAATAGATTATGTTTTGGTGGGTTTATGAAAGAACCTATAGTACAAAAAAACATTTGTCGTTATTTTTTTTTAACGTTAACACAATGCCTTTGTCTTCATTGTTTGTTTACACACATTCTGTGTATGAATTCCTCGCATTGGCTGGTATCTATCTACATATAATTTTAAATATTATACTCTACCAAACTACAGAATTTTATCTTTAGTTGTTTCATACTGAAATATTATATGTAACCATTCGAAAGTCTGTCGATTACGATCTCAGTACTGCTGATGATATTTCAAGCTTTTTAAATACACAAATATTCCTAAAAACAATCCTGTTCCTGTTAAATCAAATTGAAAGTTTATAGACTCAAAATCTCTAAATCTCCTATTTATTATCTTCCTCAATGGTTTGGAATCGTTAAAAACAAACTTCTGCTGATTTTTTACAAATCTGTTTTGGATATAGCTCTACTTAAAAAGCCACTGAGGTTTCCGGTGATAATTTTCCTTATACGTTGCTTGTTGAATTTCGATCCTAGTTGAAAGAGGCACTAAAACGGATTGAAATTGTCTTCTAACATTTCTGAGTATAGAAGAATCATTTTATATATATATATATATATATATATATATATATATATATATATATATATATATATATATATATATATATATATATATATATATATATATATATATATATATATATATATAAATTGTTATCCATGATCTTTGAATGTACTGTTTTATGATATCAGTTTTATTTCGTGAAATGAATGCACTCTGCACATATTTGGGTATTTTGTGTCACGTCGTTCTATCTGACCGACTGACTTTTTCAATTTAATCACCGGCTTTGTGACATGCAATAGTAGACGTCAGTTTACTGTAAGTTTGTTGTTGTTTCAGATAAATCTGACGTTCTTATTGCCCTGTAAAATAATTATATCACACATACGATTTACATTTCCTTCAGTCGCCAAATATTATATTTCATTAGGTCGATAAAGAAATAAACTGGCATGAGTCTAAACTTATTTTATTTGTCATTATTTATATTTTGTCCTACAGATCTATCAAATTTACAAACCTCTTCGTCTTCCTTCGCCTGACCAGCATGTGGGGATGGAGACTGGATAAAGAGAAAACACTGCCATAACGAGATCCTTCTTGAACTCGGTGAACCATTTTGAAAAGGCGCATTGCACTGTCTCAACATAGCTAATGATATGCTAAAAGACGTGAACAATGGATCTTGCCACAATTACTCCTGAGGTCTCACTAGTAAAATTTAGTTGGAACAGGGATGGAACAGATCACATTCGTAGAGATCCATGGTCACTCTTGAAAAGTTTGCTAATTGTTCTAACACTAATATATGGTAGAAAGTGAATCTGATTTTCATCACACTAGTAAATGGAAGAAAGTGAATTTGATATTCATATAAAATTTTAGTGTAAGTAAATGAAAAGGAAAAGTTTTGCTATATTCTGCTTTCACTTAAACCAAGGGTTGTTTGAGTTCTTAAACTTATAATTTCTCCATAATTAAGATCATTTCACACACACTTGCCAGAAGGCGTATCGGATCTACCAGCTTAAAATATGCATAATTAGCTTACTTTCATAAATACACCGAAGTTTTAAAAAAAATCATTTTATTGCGATAGTCATGCATGATGTATTGAAAAGGAGAAAAGCAATTGCAGACGTCCATGTTTGTTTTAAGGTCCTACTAAAAATTTTCAAACTTTGCATAAATTTGATTTTTAATGGAAACCATTGTTGAGATTTTCCTCACTAGTAATGCTGGTTATTTAAAAAAAATCTCTTTATATCCTAGGTATTGTTAAAATATATTACAATTTCCTTGATTTTGGTATACGATTGATAGAAAAGTTTTCATTATGGAATATACATCTTGGCCTTACTTCAGATGCAACTCTTAAAAGACAGCTATCTCCACCTGGTCATTTTTCATGTCCTGGACTTAAAATGTAACTCGAAGAGGAAACAACACTAGCTGATAACTTTTCTTACTTTTTATATATTTTAATATTTATTTATCAAACTTTCAGAAGCTGGTATTGTCCAATCTCGCAAAAGTCACTTTCTCCATTTAAATAACCGCTAACGTTAGAGTCCTTTGGAATACACCATGCTCATTTTCTGAGCAAACGGGAGCAGCCATTTTGATAGCTGTCTGCTTTAAACAGTGCATAGTTTCATTCATTACTACGTGTAAAGAAAATTCAGTCCCAGTACATGAACATAGCATAGAGTTAAGCCATCATTATCTCCACTACGCATGTTGTCAGTGCAAACATAGTCATCTTATAATTGTTCCTCTCAGAGAAGTCCTTAATAATTGTAGAGCGGAAACTTTAAGGCGGGGAACTGCCCATTGATCCTTCTCAGGAAATGGTGCTGTCGACTTCCTACGAACTGGAAGTGCAATTGATTCCTTCCACGGTCGGCAAGCTGACCTTTTAAAACCGGAAGTCACTCTCAGGATTGGCATGTTGATAATATCATTATACTGTGAACTGCCGCGTTCCAGGGATCCTTAAGCTAGAGTCTTTCTTGAAAATGAAAGTGGCTATGATTCCTCCCTTGATCAGCGTGCTGGTGACCTCCTCCTTGATTCCGGAGGTGCCACTACTCTCTTCCAAGAGTGGTGTGCTGGCGACTTCTTACACAAGAAAATTTCAATGATCCTTCCCAGGATTGTCATTCTGGCAACTTACCATATTGCACTGGAACGGAGGTGATACACCAGAAAAGAGGAAGCATTGGGTCCCCTTTTCCTGACTGTACTGTTTGCTAGATCCAATACCTAATCTGACCATAACGCATGTACATATACTGCACACCAAGCATGTGGGTTAGGTGTACTAAGAAGCGCATCTATGGCCGTATTTGCCAACTTGTTACGGCATGCCGAAAAAAAAAATACAGAAAAAACTAAGGACTAGATCAAAGATGTACAGGGTAATACTTACCATGCGATCATGTTCCAACGAGAGGGATGCAAAAATAGAAACACAGCGCAACTCTTTTTCGCATAAAATCTACGAAATGGCAAATGGGATACATTTATATGCAAACAGAATGCAAGTTTCCTGGGGAAAAAAAACGGTACAGTAATGTGTATGGTTGAATGAAATTACAGATAAAATACTTTAATCAGCAAAACTTTGTGACAAGAGACACATTTTACACTGCTAGAAGTCCAAGGAAAAGGATGACAATCAGAATCACGGAATTGACTTAGTCACAAGACTTAGGGTTTTATTAGGTTCTAAGGCCTCAACTTAATAATTGCTGGAAGGAATTTACTTTGAAATAGAATCTAGTGGCCCTAAAATGATAGTAAAGTAATAATAACAGGTAATGCATGACTGCTTTGTAATGTGAAGTTTTTTATGACACGTAATCTGAAGCAATTTCTACAAATGTCCCTGGGCTGCAATTTGATGTCATACTCCCAACTACCGAATCATACGTGTTTCTGGTTGGTATTCTTTTTTCTTTCTTTTTTAAATTCTTTTTAACCTAGCTTTAACAATTGAGTCATAGCGCTGAGATGTATGCAGTGAGGCAGTTTATAGTGATGACTAGCACTGGAGCATCATGCTGCAGACATGTGGCATCATCTCCCATCCTGACACCAGGCTGACCAGTAATAGCACTAACCTCTTAATGCTGAGCACCAAGGGAGGTAGCTGATACAAGCATTTTTATAAGTCTTTGGTATGGCTCAGTCGGGGTTCGAACCCGCAACCTCCGCATCAATGGCGGACGCTCACACCACTTAGGCCACCGGAGAGGTCAAACGACTGATTACAACTTTATATCAAAAGCTTTTTTGTCAAGATTACTCAGGTGCGTTCAGTTAATAAAAATGATGTTTAACCTATGATGAGAGTTCATAGTACTTGAGACTGAACAATAAATTAGGAGTCTTCATGTAAAAAATGTTAAGCAAGTTATTGAATTTCCTTTCTTTGTACGTCCAATGCACACAAATGTTATGAGATTTTGTAATTATAATTTCAATATTCCCGTTAGTCGAAAAACGATTAGCATAGACTACTTATTATGTTCTTTATTATTGATACATTATAACATATCCAAACAAGGGGGCCCTTAGTGACCGTTACTTATCACTGCCATCTCACCTCTGTCTGAGTGAGTTCGAGTCCAGATTCGGCTAACGTGGGTAAGTGAGAAAGCCTGCCAGTAGCTTCTCGTGGGTCGGTGGTTCTTCTCTGGGTTTTCCAGGGTTCTTCCTCCACCATTAATACTGGCCGCCATGTATAGCCTATCTTGTGCTGAAAAATGGCGCTAAACCCTACAATAACAACAACAACATATCCAAACAAATGAAATGCACGATTATAAAAACCATGCATATCACTAATTTCCTGAAATTTATGATAGAATAATGATCCCTTATCATAAATTATTAAATTGTAACGGCTATTTACTATTTACAAGTATAACACCATAGCTTAAAGTTTGATATTCTCCAAGATGCTTACATACAACAAAAATGACCGGTATTACTGAAAATCGTTTTAAAATTTTTACACATAAATCCCAGAAAATATTGACATTAGTCTATTTTCTTTTCTCTTATAAAACTAAAACATGTACAGTTTCCATTTATTTGTCAAAACTAAATTTTCGATAACTGGATTAGCATAAATAAGTTAGACGGCCAGCGAATACTAGGTACGTGCTATTTACTTTGTGCAGTATAATATTGTATTCGTTACAAGATGGCCCTTATTAACTACAAGTGGGTTCAACAACTAAGGTGGATTGCAGAGTTCAATCGATTATCTTATAACGAAGCTCCAATAAAATGTCAGTTAAAATTGAAATATTATCTTGAGATTAGTGAAGAGAATTATCCCCATCTCCAGTTTCCCCAAACTATTATCACTTCTCAAGTCATCAGTTATCCCATCATAGCAAAATATTCCCTCTAACCAAGTCGGCAACATCCCATCTCATAGTAATCTATATTTTCTCTCATTCGTTAATTATCCCAACTCATAGTAAAATATCGCCTTCTTCCGAATCATCAGTGATCCTATCTTCCAGCATGATATCCCTAACAAGTCATCAATTATTCTATCTCAAAGCAAACTTCCCGCGCACAATATTAAAAAAAAATATAAAAAAAAAAAAAAATTCTATGCTTGCCACTGGAGATATTATCCAGTGTGAGGGCCCCGGTGTTAACGCAGAACCATCGGGATTCTCAGTCACTCCGACCATCTTCGGCTTCCACAATTAGAACCCGTGCTATACAAAAAAAACAAACAAAACAACAACAACAAAAAAAACAAACAAAAAAAACAACCTGGAATCAATCATACATAGAAAGGAACACGACTCATTAGTGCCACCTGTTAGTCCTACAATCGGTGAAGAAGACAATATTGGTGCAACTGGCACAAATTCATGACATAGAGAAATACAAAACATCTGGCGTAAGAGTTTCCGAACCTCCTTGGAGACGACATTTTATCGGTTCAGACTGGGCAGAAACGAAGATGGAAAGCAGATGGTTGTCGAACACCGGAGCTACACAGAGCACCAGTAACCAAAAGTACTGTTCCAGAGGCATCTCAAGGTCGATTGCCACTTCAACAATCGTTCTCATCGATAATTTTGGGTACCAAAGACCACTGATCACATGTCTTACCACCAGACCCCATCCAGCTACATTTGAAAAGAAAGACATGCTCTACACTCTACAGCATCACGATAATCGGTCAGAAAAACAAACAGTCGCTGCACCGGTAGGCAGAAGGCATGGTATCTGACTCTTGAAGAGTGTTGAAGACCGTGTCATTTTCAGATCTAGAGATATCAAGCAAGTTGACACATCATTGACATCACCGCCGTCTTACCACTGACGTCAAGTTGGTTACTTATTCCTTATTCCCGATTGAATAAGGAATAAGTAACTGGTTGAATAAAAGAAAGAAGGAGAGAGAGAGAGAGAGAGAGAGAGAGAGAGAGAGAGAGAGAGAGAGAGAGAGAGAGAGAGAGAGAGAGAGAGAGAGAGAGAGAGAGAGAGAGAGAGAGAGAGAGAGAGAGAGAGAGAGAGAGAGAGAGAGAGAGAGAGAGAGAGAGAGAGAGAGAGAGAGAGAGAGAGAGAGAGAGAGAGAGAGAGAGAGAGAGAGAGAGAGAGAGAGAGAGAGAGAGAGAGAGAGAGAGAGAGAGAGAGAGAGAGAGAGAGAGAGAGAGAGAGAGAGAGAGAGAGAGAGAGAATATCCACGAACTCCGTATATGTAGTAGTTTCTGGCTTATATATGTATCCTTCCTGTAGTGTTTATATCTTATGTCAAACAAAATCGCAAAAACCGGATTGTCAGAAGGAACACGCATAAACCAAGGTACAAACTGACCAAGATTTTATCGTATCAAGGTTAACTATACGACGGTGTCTCGCAAATAAAAATCCTTATTTAAAAATAGTCACTGTGAGTGCAAATGATAATCTTTTCAACCATCCATGAAAGCTAAAAAACATGATGAAATCCGCGTCTTGACTCAAGAAATGCTCACCACAATCTCAGACCTCAAATCAAAGTCATTATGAGTAGCAGAGAGAGTGAACAGTCCACTTGCTTGAGACATTATTTATGTAAAATAAGTGTTCCTACAAAAGCTGAAAATACAAGGTCAATAACTATAAACCAAATCATCTAACCGAAAATATTTTCATACGGTGGAGAACAGACCACAATAATGTCAAATCGTCTGTGTTAGCTCATTTTAGTTACTTTTTCGTTGATGTCTTTTTTTCTTTATTTTTTTATGCCACTTGTTTGCTCTCCGGGTAAATCAATGTTGGGTTGTTCACCCTCTACGAGCGACTAGAGGCAATCAAAAACTTATCTACCCATCCGTGATTCTGTCAAACAACAAATACAAGCTCGTCAGGAGTGTCAGATTGAATTTGTAGAGGTGCAGAGCAGTTATTTAAGTCAGTTGTCGAACCAACGAAGAAAATTGTTAAAGCAACTGAGGAAACACAAAAAGCTCTTGCAACATTGCCTGTCGGTTTTGCTGTCCGTATTCAAGCAGCTCAACCACCACCCGTCGAAACTCCTCAACCACGATATAAAGAACGGCCACAACCTCTTCCAAGAACCAGAACTAGCACTACAGATAAATTTACTCCTGAATGTCTTGCCGCTATCAGGGATAAAATCCAAGTAACGGATATTGCCGCGTATGGGTATCATGAAAAAGAAAAATATGTAAAACCCGAATGTATTAAATCTCTAAAATCTGCCGATTGGATTAAGGATGTATATCGTATCGCTACTTGTACTCCGCAAAGCAGAACTAAGAAAAATATTGATCAGTTTGTTATTTTTAACCGGGCTGTAAATGAGTACACTGAACAAATAAAACAAGGGTTCAAAGCGAGGAAGAAATAAGGCCGAAGCTTGAAAAAGCTAAACAAAAGATGCAAAAGGAAGCACGGTCTAGAAAAACTAATCAAAGAAAGGGAATTAATATCCACGACAAGTAAAGAATATACACATCCTGAACTCGGCGAAACTGGAAACCGTTTTACTAATCAGAGAAGTGATCTTATTATTTCATGTCCCAACAATATCCTTGCGATGTTGAAAGACTGAAAATAAATCCTCATTGGAGGAAACCGAGCTGGTAATAATTCCCCAGAAATAATTTATGAAGCAGCCGATATTTGTTACAGGCGGTATCATGGATATTAATATGGACATCTCTAAGACGATTGGTATATTTTCACTTCTCGCAGCTATACCAGCATTAATAGCAGTTGAAGCCCAAGCTGTTGCAAAAGCAGCTGCAATATATGCTGTTGGAACTGCTGCTGCAATGGCATTAAAAAAGTAACCAGACAGGGAATAAAAACCTCCCAAAAAAGGGAAGAGAGCTAAGATTGCCAGGGACACCATATTCGTGGTAAGGAAAAGGTCTAAGACTTCCAGGAACAGTTCATTGATTCTGCCTATGTCAAATTTTTGATTTACTTGATGCTGCTAAAAAAATTATAAAAAAAGAAAAAAAAATTCAGGTTTTTATGCGTGATCAGTTACCAAAAACAATATTGAAACTGGTGTTATTAATCTCGATAAAAACTCTGGCCCAGTATTTCAGTGGGTTACGTATGCATCTGATCAACGTGGAATTATTTATTTGGATTAATATGGACTAGCACCACCAAAAGAATTTTTAGAAATGTTAGTAGCATGCAAAGTACTCCAATCTGATATTCAAAGCTACCAACAAAAACATTAACGAATCCGCCAATATGTGGTCGTGAAGTACTCGCTGTATCTTCGGCACCACCAGGTAACCCACCTCATAAAGTCGTTCATGAATAGACTACGTTGTCACATTTAAACAGACATTAGTAAATATAATGGTAGATATTTACGGAAGATCTCGTGGGAAAGCTCAGCAGCAAGGTTATTTATCTAAAATGCAACTCGTGATCAGCTCAGAAATGAGACCGATGATTTAATAAACATTATAAGTATGGATTAAAATGAAGTCTTTGTTGTTCAGCATAAAACAAGGACGATTAAATACAATACAAGTACTAGATGTACTCATATGAATTCCTACCGCAGTTGTTGATAATATCGTTAATTTTACTGATCAGGGTAAAATACAAGATTCCGGTAAGTCAGTTAAAAGTTCAATCAAGAAGGCTGGTTTTTCGTTCACTGGTATCATGAATCGAAATAAAATTACAGACCTTGGAAACCCAACCGTAGATACGGACGCCGCAGCAAAAAAA